CCCCCCCCGGGCGGGGCCCCCCCCTGCCGCCACGAGCCACCCTCCGAGACCCATCTGTTCCACCGAGGTCCCCCGTGGCTCCGAGCACGCCCGGCATACAGAAGGTGCCTAATAAATGTCAAGTGCCTCCGGGGCCGGGTGACGCCCCGCCCCCACGAGCCCCCCTCCGAGACCCGTCTGTTGCACCGAGGTCCCCCGTGGCTCCGAGCATGCCCGGCATACAGTCGGTGCTTAATAAATGTCAAGTGCCTCCGGGGCCGGGTGACGCCGCACTGCCACGAGCCCCCCTCCGAGACCCGGCTGTTCCACCGAGGTCTCCTCAGTGGCTCCAGATACACTGGGCATCCAGTGGGTGCTTAATAAATGTCAAGAACCCTCATCCCAATGAGCACCAACTCCGCCCATTTTGTCCCCTTGACAGGGCCAGGCCTGACTTGTGCAGAAGGGGAAACTGAGGCCTAGAGAGGAGACCACGCCCCGGGGGGGCTCGAGGTCAAGCCAGGACACGGAATGACACCCCCCCCAGAGGAACGCACAGCTACGACACGCAAGGGTCTCGGGGCGGGACCCTCGTCCTGGGTTTTGCTGCTGCGGCCCTGGGCACCCCCTCGCTCAGGGGCAGGGGGTCCCAGGCAAAGGGGCCCCGATCCCGGGCCCCTCCCCCATCCCGGGCCCCTCCCCCATCCTGAGGCCCAACGTGGACCCTGACTGAGCCCGTGACCCCCCCGACCTGTGAAACCCGCCGAGACTTGCCTCTGGCTCTGGGTGACTCAAGCCGAGAAAGCTGCGGGTCTGAGGGAGGAGGCGCGCCCCGCCCTGGGACGGAGGGGGCTCCTGGGGGGGTCTGAGGGCCGAGGCCGCCCCTGGGGTCTGAGTGGGCGGGCTGGGCCCCGCCCTAGGGTCCCCGCCGGGAGACCTGGCCCGGTTCCCAGCTCTGACGGGGGAGGCTCGGCCCTGCCCTGCAGTCTGAGAGGGGAGGCTGGTGGCCCGAACCCTCCCGTCCACCCTGGGGGCCGCGTCTCTGCCTCCACCCGGGGCCCGTGGCCCCCACCCTCCCGGCCAGAAGGCGTCAGGGTATGGGGCGGCTTGGAAATCACCCACGGCGCGTGGACGTGGCCTCAGATGTGTCTCTGCTGGGCCGTCCCCCGGCCGCCATCACCCTGGGACCCGCACACCCGGGAGCGTCCTGCAGGGCCCACCTGTGGCTTCCCTGTCCCGTCTCGGGCCGTGGGGTCATCAGCCGTCCCGAGACCCTCACGTGCTGGGCTTGGGGCCCCTCTCCTGCCAGCCAGGCGTGTCGGAGGGGTCGGGGGCATTCCGGAGGACAGGGGCGTCTCACAGGGCATGAGGTGTCCCTGGGGCCGGGGCGTCCCCTGGGGACACGGGTGTCCGGGGAGCCAGGAGCGTCCCATGCGGCCACCGGCGTCCTCTGGGGCCAGATGCCTCGCCCAGGGACACCAGGGTCTCCCGGGGGCAGGGCACCCACCCGCGCACACCCCGGCAGGAGAGCTGGGCCAGCCCTGAGAGCAGGAGGGCCGCGGCGGGGGGGGGGAGCTCCGTGCCATGTGGCACCGCCGGGGGCCTGGCCTGTCGTCCCTGCAGGTGGCCGAGCAGAGGGGAGGTGGAGGGGGCGTTCTTCTGGGAGGGTCCGGGCAGGAGGGGCCAGAGGCTGGGCGCAGGGTGGGAAGGGACAGGCGGTGAGGCTGGCCGGGGCGCCGCTCCCCGTGTCGACCGAGCCTCAGTCGCAGCCCCACGAGGACCCTCACTCCGCACCTGCATGGAGACCTGGGTGGGCTGAGGCCGAGGCCGGTCTGTCCCAGCCCCCAGCCCGACCGAGCCCTGATCCCAGCCCAGTCCTCCGTCCAGGCTGAGCCCTGATCCCAGGCCCGGACCCCGTGCTGACTGAGCCCTGATCCCAGGCCCCATGCTGACTGAGTCCTGATCCCAGGCCCAGGCCCTATGCTGACTGAGCCCCGATCCCAGGCCCAGCCCCATGCTGACAGCCCCGATCCTAGGCCCGGCCTTCCATCCTGACTGAGCCCTTAGCCCAGACCCAGCCCTCCATCCTGAGTGCTGATCCCAGGCCCAGCCCTCCATCCCGACTGAGCTCTGATCCCAGGCCCAGGCCCCATACTGACTGAGCCCTGATCCCAGGCCCAATTTTGACCCTGACTGAGCCCATGACCCTCACCCTGACCTGTGAAACTAGCGGAGACTTGACTCCGGACTGATCCCTGATTCCAAGCTGAGCCCCAACTCTGGTCGCGTCCCAAGCCCAACTGAGCCCAGACCCCAGCTGAGCACCTGACCCCAGACCCAGGTGGCAAATTCAGGACTAGAGCACAGGGCCCCGGGAGACAGAGCTGAGCCTCCCCTGAGGCCCAGCTGTCCTACTGCCTCAGGGGGGAAAGGCTGTCTGCGCACTGCCAGGTTCAATCTTATGGTCATCCTACAAGGCAGAAGAGCTCCCGCCTTCTAGAGACGCCCTGAAGACACCAAGTCCTCGTGCAAAGATTATTCCCTGGAGTGTTGTTTGTCAACGCAAAACCTTACAGTCCACCCGACATCTGCGCCCAGGAGACAGGCTGACAAACGAGGCAGCACCAGAGGGGACTCCTAGCCAGTCAAGCAAAGAACAAGGAAGGGTCAGATGGGTGCAGTGGCTCACACCTGCAATCCCAGCGCTTGGGGAGGCTGAGGCAGGAGGGGGATTGCTTGAGGCCAGGAATTCGAGACCAGCCTGGACAACACAGCAAGACTCCATCTCTATTTAAAAAAATAAACAAATGAGCTGGGCGTGGTGGCGCGAGCCTGTAGTCCCAGTTATTCAGGAGGCTGAGGTGGGAGGATTGTCTGAGTCCAGGAGGTCGAGGCTGTGGTCAGTTGTGCGCATGCCACTGCATTCCAGCCTGGGCAACAGAGTGAGACTCTGACTCAATAAATTGAGTCAACTATATGTGGGATTCTGGATGGGATCCCGGCACAGAAAGAGGACACTAGAGGAAACTAAGGACATCTCAATAAAGACAGACGTTCGTTAACAATAATGTATCGGTTTGTTCATGAGCAGATCTGCCGCACCAATGGGCAGTGCTGTCCACAGGGAATGCTGGGTGTAGGGTGTATGAGGACCCCTGAAAGCTCCACAATTTCCCTGTAATCCTAAAAAACTGTCCCCAAACATCAAGTTTTGTTTTTTAGAAATGGGGGGGGTCTTGCTATGTTGCCCAGGCTGGCCTCGAACTCCCGGCCTCAAGAAATCCTCCCACCTCGGCCTCCCAAAGTGCTGGGATGACAGGCGTGAGCCGCTCCGTCTGGCTTGTTTTTTTTTTTTTTAATGTAAAAAGCAAACGTGTTCAACAAACGAGTAGGCGCTGGGCTCTGCCACCTCCTAGGTGCGTGACCTTAGGTAAACTGCTCCATTGCTCTGTGCCTGTTTCCTCGCCCGTACGGGGGGG